CCCAACAAATGGGAATAAAAATAATGACTTATCACCGGGATGTGGGAGAGTGAAAGGGTAACAACTGTGATCCATATATAAATGTCTAATATAAAATGCCAGTATAAATCTGCCTTTAAATCAACCCATGTTTTCAGACGATGGAAACTCATACTATTTAAATGTAGGCTGCCTCTCCAATGCTCCTTCTTCCTGCAGTGGAAGTAAAATAAGCTGAATCCATGAAGCTCTGTTCAAGTATTTCCCTCTCCAACAACTACATGCTTCTCTCTGCACATTCTGCTCATTCTTTGTTTAATGGCTTGGAAACCATCAAAGTTTCCATTTTTACTTGGTTAAAAGCAATCCATCCATCTGTGGGTAAGGAAGAATGAGAAAAACAAAATAAATTACTAACTACTCTCTTTCACATCAACAAATCAAATAAACTAAGGTGGATGGCTGACCCTATCAAAGGTGATGATGTCAGCTCAACAGAACCATTAACGAGTTACATCCTACTATTATTATTATTATTTGGCTCAAACACAACATTGTGCTACTTTTAGAGAATGTTGATCCATCATTAATGAAAATCCTACATATCCATTCATCCACTTTATTTATTCATCCAAATGTTATCTGAGTTCCTATTAAAAAGCTAAGTAGGCTGGGTAATATGGCGCATGCCTATAATCCCAACAATTTGGGAGGCCAAGGCAGGCAGATCACTTGAGTTCAGGACTTCAAGACCACCTGGGCAACATGATGAAACCCCATATCTAAAAAAAGGAAAATACGAAAATAAGCCAGGCATGGTGGTACGCATCTGTAGTCCCAGCTCCTTGGGCTGCTAAGGTGGGAGGATCCATTGGGCCCGGGAGGTCGAGACTGCAATAAGCCATAATTGTGCCACTGCACTCCAGCCTGGGCAAGACCCTGTCTCAAAAAATAAATAAATAAATAGCCAAGTAGTCTGCTAGAGATGTAACAATGATTAAAAAACAGGCCTTGCCCTCCAGGAACTTTTTTGAGAGGAAATATAGATATTTAAACAAATAATTATAAAAACATATGAAATTAGCATGGCGGCTTGCACCTATGGTCCCAGCTGCTTGGGAGGCTAAGTTGGGAGGATCACTTGAGCCCATGAGACAGGTTGCAGTGAGCTGAGATCATGGCACTGCACTCCAGCCTGGGCAACAGAATGAGATCCTGTCTCCAAAAAAAAAAAAGCAAACATAGCGAAACAATGTGATATACTAAAATAGGGACCCAATATGCTATAGAAAACACTCCGAAAATAAGACATAGTGAACAAAATGGTCTATAGCCTCAAGAAGTTCAAAGCAGATTGCTCATCTAAAATTCCCAGTAGGAACGCAATGTGATCAGTAAACAAAGAAAAATATTGGCCGGGTGCAGTGTCTCACACCTTTAATCCCAGCACTTTGGGAGACAGAGGAGGGCAGATCACCTGAGGTCAGAAGTTCGAGGCCAGCTTGGCCAACATGGTAAAACTCCATCTTTACAAAAGTTAGCCTGGCATAATGGTACGTGCCTTTAAGTCCCAGCTACTTGGGGCGGGGGCTGTGGTGGGAGGATTGTTTGAACCCGCAATCACACCACTGCTCTCCAGCCTAGGCAACAGAGTGAGACCCTTTCTCAAAAAAAGAAAAAAAAGAAAAAAAAATTACCTAGATACTAAGATGTTTTGTGAGAACAGGATTAATTGGGAGGCTATGGAACTTAAAATTAAGACAGGTTTTTGACACAAGATCATGGAGGGGCTTCAGAGGGTCCAGAAACTCTGAAACTATATGCAAAATATGCATGTGCAAATGGACATTTTTTCTGGATACAAAGATGACTGTAGCTTTCATTCTATTCTCAAAGGTAAAGAACTATTTCACTATGATCTTATTCCAAAACCCAGTTTTCTACCTCTATCAGTGAAGAGTTTTAAGATCCAATCTTTTACTTAGACTCGGAGATCTGGGTTGCCTAGACATCAGAGAAGAGCTTTCAAACTTTCTATAATGTGGTGAAAAACAGTGATTGCTCAAAACAGGGGAATGCAGAGCAATAGGACTTTTTCCTTTCCATATTCTAGTTAAAATTAGCCTAAATATATTTTCCCACATACTCAGATATCATGGTGACAGGCATCATAGAAACAGACAGTGGCAGCAGGGAGTAGGTCAGGGCTTGTATCTGTAAAACCAACTAGGAAAAGTTTATCAGGCAAAATTGAACCCCCAACTAATACAGCTGGCTCCTCCTTGTCCATAAGATCATACCTGTGAATTCATTATGGGAATCTGGGGACCTCTGGCTACCTCCCCAATAATAATAAAAAGCTAATACAGTCAAACAGCATAGAAATAAAAATCAGCACTGAAGTACAGTGATACTAAACACCCACATTACAAACTACATCTGGACCCTAGATGATTGCTTCCTAGATAACCAAGGGCTTTTGTGTGTCCAGTTTAATAACACATGCCTTACCAGTCTTATAAATAAAATTTCATTACAGTTTGCAGCACATGTATGGCAAAGGATATATACACATAAGCATATTTGCCATGATGAGTTTCACATAGCTCCCTCAAATCCATAAGTCTAGAAGGCAAAGAATGAGTGAAAACATGGGCAATCCAACATACGAAGGGTAGTGTCTGCCAAGAGGTAGGTGGATCCACCATAGACATACTTGTATTCACGGAATGCAATATTATACACTATTACGGGCTCTGACTGCATGGGATGCAACATTGTGTTTTGCAGCTTTCCTTAACATCTGCTGCTCTGCATCTCACTGTACACTCCACATATGATAACATAGACCCAGGTTCCAGGAGGGCTTACCCATCTATACAGGAAAAGGAGCTAATGTCACTTAGCAGAGAACTCCAGTACAAATGTCTAGATGCCTTCGCAACAAGCAATGGTCCATGCCTCTTTAAGGACACTCATATATACTTCCCCTCAACTCATCAAGGGCCTTAGACTGTCATGCAATCAGTCCTGAGAATAGGACATAATTATAAATAGAGCTGAAAGTTCGGAAAGACATAACGTCAACTGACCAACACAGAATTCTTCACCACTTCCTAGTGAGAAAAGCAAAATGCTGAGTCAGAAAAGATAAATATAAAAGCCATTTTTAAATCTGTTTAAAAGATAATCGCTTGTTTAAGCAAAAATGACGGCAATGTATTCTGGAGTTTATGACATATGTAAAAAGTAAAATGCAAATGCATGACTATAATAACACAAAGAACAGTTCATACCAATAAAAGTGTGGATTCATCAAGAGAACAGAGGATATAAAATTGGGATAGAAGGAGAATAACAGGAAGCCCTGAGCCCCAGGAAACAGACCAGAAAGAAGAATAGAAGGCAATGTGGACAAGACAATGGAATAGGATGATGAGGAAGAGGACAACAAATCATGAGAATGAGAGAAAAGTCACAGAGATCACAGAGGCCAGAGATAGAATAGCTAGGACAAAAAGGAAAGAAAACAGAATGAAAGAGAAAGTAAAACCAGAAGGGAATCAGAAGAGGCAGGCAGAAACAACTACTACTACCACCTTGTTTAGTACTACAATGTGTAATTTCATTCAAGTTATAGACATACACCATTTGTACTTATTATAAATCCAACAACTGTACCAACATCTGAAGATCTGCATCATTATTGTGTTTTCTCTTTAATCCTATGCTTTTAGAGCCTAATAATCTTACAACTATCCATAGGCAACAATAATAGTCCTTTATATTAAAAGGAGGTGCTGCTACCTAAGAAATTCTACTGTTGGTCATTTCCATGTCTTTTGATCTCTCTTTAACTCCCCTGACATTCTCTCCATCTCAAACTCTCACACAATCATACTCTCCTCTCCTGAAATATCAAAATGCCACTACTGCCACTTAGTGTTATTCTCCTACTCCCCCTTTACCACCATAGGCAGTAACTGCAAAAACTTGCTAATCCATTAATTAAAGATCTCTACTTCCCATTATGGGGGACTAAATTTAGAAAGCCAAATTGGGTTGGGAGGAAATCATGTGTCACAACAAGTGAGATGAATTCCATGGAAAGGGGCTGGGTTACTGGCCTGTTTCTTATAAAGCCTCTGACACTAACACATCCTATTCTGCTGAAAATACAGAGCAGCTCTCCCATGGGTGGGCAACCTTTCATCACTGTAATCATCTGGAGAAGATTTTATTGTACCATCAGGTCTCAAAAGCCACAGGACCTAGCAGCAAGCAACTGCCTCAGGGAACATGTCTCCTCTGCTTTCCTGAAACCTCCAATTTAGTTACACAAAAGAAAGGGGTGGCAAGCCAGCATTAATTGTACCCTTAGCGAAGAGCCACTTCCCCCCTGCAGGGGTAGCAGTGACTTTACTGGACTACCAAATGTATACAAAGACAAAGTAAACACTGTAATTTGCTGTTTTGTCTCTGGCACAGGGGGAGTGGCACAAGTGACACTGTCTGTAAACAGTAATAATCCCAGATGTAACACAAAGAACAGAATTCCCGCATCTCCCCACTCCCGTCCCTATCCCTCCATCTCTCCCTATGGCATTCCTCCTGATTACTCGTCCTGAGGAAACACACAGAAGCCTCCCTATAGTCCATATGCGGCTACCAAATGAAACCGAGTGAGAATCCAAGTTTGTACAGACTTCTCCTACCTCATTCTTACTCAAAGAAAGATTTATTGGAACACAAGAAATACTCAGTTGTTTTTATCAGTTGACAAAAAGTATAGGGAGGGGAAGGAACAAGGGACAAAGAATAGACATGTGACACACCCAGGTCTGGATCAGAAAAAAGCTAAAATGTTTAAAAAAAAAAAAAAAAAGACAAAAAGAGTAACTGAAAATAAAGGCATCCTAAACAAACCAAAAGGTTAAAAGACAAAAAATCCATCTTGAGCCCAGGCCTAGGGGCTCATAAAAGGTATAGAAAAAGAAGATGAGTTCAAGAGAGAAAGTTACCTGACCAGAGCTCCCGCCAGGTGTAATGCAGGCGTACCCGACACTTCTTCTGGTAGCAAAGCAGTTTGTGTACTACCTGGATGCAGCGTCTGTAACAGGGAAAGCAAACAATGAGGGTAAGCCTGGGAATATAGTGCAACTCATCACAGATCCCTTCTTAGCGAGCCGGCTTTGCTAAGGCCACTAAAGACACTGGATATGAATATGTATACATGCAAAAAAATATATAAAACTTCTGGCCGGGCACGGTGGCTCACACCTGTAATCCTAGCACTTTAGGAGGCCAAGGCAGGTGGATCATTTGAGGATAGGAGTTCAAGACCAGCCAGGCCAACATGGCGAAACCCCATCTCTACTAAAAGTATAAAAAAAGGCCTGGCACGGTGGCGCATGCCTGTAATCCCAACTGAGTGAACTTGAACTCAGTGAGCCAAGATCACTCCAGCCTGGGCGACACAGCGAGATTACATCTCAAAAAAAAATAAAAAAAAAAAAAAAAAAAAAGCAGGGCACGGTGGTTCACGCCTGTAATCCCAGCACTTTGGGAGGCCGAGGTGGGCGGATCACGAGGTGAGGATATCAAGACCATTCTGGCCAACAAGGTGAAACCCCATCTCTACTAAAAATATACAAAAAATTAGCCAAGCGTGGTGGCGGGCACCTGTAGTCCCAGCTACTCAGGAGGCTGAGGCAGGAGAATGGCGTGAATCCAGGAGGTGGAGCTTGCAGTGAGCCAAGATCACGCCACTGCACTCCAGCCTGGGTGACAGAGCGAGACCCCGTCTCAAAATAATAAAAATAAAAATAAAATAGCCAGGCGTGGTGGCACATGCCTGTAGTCTAAGCTACTGAGAAGGCTGAGGCAGAAGAATTGCTCGAACCTGGGAAGCAAAGGTTGCAGTGAACCAAGATCGTGCCACTGTACTCCAGCCTGGGTGACAGGGCAAGACTGTCTCAAAAAAAAAAAAAAAAAAAAAAAAAAACTTCTGCCTTCTAGTAGACTCATCAATATCTCTCTCTCTCTCTCTCTCTCTCTCTCTCTCTCTCTCTCTCTCTCTCCCCCTCTCTCTCTCTCACACACACGCACACACACACACACACACATACACAATCACATACTGCTTATGCTACCCATTCCCCTTATCAATGGGTAGAGTGTGCTATAACTACTTATAAGTCAACAATCAATTAGGCGCCACTGACATCTTTCCCTTGAGTACCTTTCCAGGGAAAAAGGATAAACTAGAGGGTCACAATTAAACTATTCCACTGAAAGTGGTATAGTGACATGGAATGCAAAAACACAAAATTAAAGACCTTAATTCTCTATATCTATCTGAATGTGGTTTTTATTTAAATTAAATTTTTAATTAAATATATAATTTAAAATACCAGTCTTACTTATAAATAAAATCTATAAAAAAATTAACTGGGCATGGTGGCACATGCCTATAGTCCCAGCCACCCTGCAGGCATGCGCCACCATACCCAGCTAATTTTTTTGTACTTTTAGTACAGACGAGTTTCACCATGTTGGCCAGGCTGGTCTCGAACTCCTGGCCTCAAGTGATCCACCTGCCTCGGCCTCCCCAAGTTCTGGGATTACAGGCACGAGCCACCGTGCTCAGCCAGAAGTTCTGTTTTTCTTTCTTTTTTTTTTTTTTGCTGCAAACTGTAAAATTTAAATTCTATTTACACTAAAAGTTAAATTAAAAATGCAGTTTGTCAGTTGTGCTAACCACCTTTCAAGTGCTCAATAGCTACATGTGGCTAATGGCTATTACCATAGCGAACAGAAAAAAATATAGAACTTTTCTATTATTGTAAAAGTTTCTACCGGACAGCATTCTGCTAGATCATTGGAATATTCAGGGTTATTCACATCTCAATAACATACATGTTTCTGAGAGTATTTCCAAATAAGCAGTTAGTAGCTTTGAAGTCAAGATAAGTGATATTTTTGAAAATTATAAACCTACCAAAAGCATTTTTTTCATCCCTGAGATACGATTTTGAAAGGTTAAAAAGCCAGATGAAATTATAAAGGTAAATACTGATGAAATTTACTTCCTAAAAATACAAATATTTTGTTTAATAAAAAAAAATTCAATGATTACAATTAAATGGCAAACAACATGGGAAATTACATTTGCAACAAATAATATAATAGAGTTACTATGTTTGATATATAAAAGTTTATATACATAGATGATAAAAACAGTGTCCTTTGCTATAGTCTGAATGTTTATCCTCTCTGAAACTCATGTTGAAACGTAATCCCAAATGTAATATTATTAAAAGGCAGGGTCTTTAAGAGGTGACTGGGTCATGAGGGCTCTGCCCTCAGGAATAGATTAATCCACTCATGGGTTAATGGATTAATGGGTTATCATGAGAGTGGGTTAGTTATCATGAGAGTAAGTCTGTTATATAAGCCAGTCTGGCTTTCTCTCCTTAGCCCCCTCACCATACAATACCTTGCACCACCTTGGGACTCTACAGAGTGTCCCCATCAGCAAGAAGATCCTCGCCCAGAAGTAGCCCCTAGACTTGGACTTCCTAGTCTTCAGAACTGTGAGACTAAATAAATTTCTTTTCTCTATAAATTTTTCAGTCTTAGGTATTCAGTTATAGCAACAAGACAACCTCTAACAACAAAGATAGGAAAAGGAAACGGTCAATAAATTCCTCCATCTCCCAAAAAAGGGAAACAGGGAAAGCCAACATTTTACTATAATGTTCAACTTCATTTTGTTTTTTTTGTTTTGTTTTGTTTTGTTTTGAGACGGAGTCTGGCTCTGTCGCCCAGCCTGGAGTGCAGTGGCCGGATCTCAGCTCACTGCAAGCTCCGCCTCCCGGGTTCACGCCATTCTCCTGCCTCAGCCTCCCGAGTAGCTGGGACTACAGGCGCCGCCACCTCGCCCGGCTAATTTTTTGTATTTTTTTAGTAGAGACGGGGTTTCACCGGGTTAGCCAGGATGGTCTCGATCTCTTGACCTCGTGATCCGCCCGTCTCGGCCTCCCAAAGTGCTGAGATTACAGGCTTGAGCCACCGCGCCCGGCCTACTTCATTTTTAAAAGGCATATTAAAACAAGATTCTACTTGTGCATATCAAATGAACATACATTTCATGCTTACAAAGAAACAGCATTCATAATAAAACTGGAAACAACTATGGAAAGAACATTTGATGCCAGGAGAACAGCAAGTAAATCATTACACACATGTTCCAGATTGATACCTGTCCCCCAAAATTCGTATGGTGAATTATAAATACACATCAATTCCTCTAGCTAGTGTCTCTGGCTCTCACTTCACAGAGGGAGGTTAATGGTAGAGAAATTAGAACCCTCAAAGAGTACTGGTGAAAATAAAAATAGTACAACCACTTTGGAAAACTTAGGAGTTTCTCAAAATGTTAGATATAGAGCTACCACATAACCCAGCAATTCCACTACTAGGTGTCTACAAAAGAAAAACACAAACAGGCTAGGTGCAGTGGCTCACGTATATCACTCCAACACTTTGGGAGGCCAAGGCAGGAGGATCACTTGAAGCCAGAAATTTCAGACCAGCCTGGGGAACAAAGCAGAACCCCATGTCTACAAAAATTTAAAAATTAAAAAAATTGGCCAGGCGCAGTAGCTTACGTTGTAATCCCGGCACTTTGGGAGGCCAAGGTGGGTGGATCACGAGGTCAGGCATTCAAGACCAGCCAAGCCAACACGGTGAAACCTCATCTCTACTAAAAACACAAAAAATTAGCTGGGCATGGTGGCAGGTGCCTGTAATCCCAGCTACTTGGGAGGCTGAGGCAGAGAATTGCTTGAACCTGGGAGGCGGAAGTTACAGTGAGCCAAGATTGCACCACTGAACTCCAGCCTGGGCAACAAAGTGAGACTCCATCTCAAAATAAAATAAAATAAAATAAAAATAAATAAATCAGCTGGGTGCAGTGGCATGCACCTATAGTCCCAGCTACTCAGAAGGCTGAAACAGGAGGATCACTTGAGCTCCGGAGTTTAAAGCTATGATTGCACCACTGTACCCCAGCACAGGTAACAGAGTAAGACCCAGTCTCTAAAAAAAGTAAAAATAAAACAAAATATATGTCAACACGAAAACTGGCATACAAACAGTCATGGTGACATTCATAATAGCCAAAAAGTCTAAACAACCCAAATGTCTATCAATTAATGAATGAATAAATACAATGATGTGGTATTCTATACAGTGAAATATTAACCATAAAAAGGAACGGCTACAACATGGATGAACATGGAAATTATTATGCTAAATTAAAGAAGTCAGTAGTAAAAATCCACATATTCTATTATTTCATTTATATAAAATGTCCAGAATAGGCAAATACATAGAGACAAAAAGTAGATTAGTAGTTATCTAGGCCTGAGGGAGAGGGCAGAGGAAGAAATACAAAGAGTAACTACTAATGGGTACAGGATTTCTTTACACAGGGGTCAACTGAAATGGTCTAAAATTAGTTTGTGGTAACAGTTGCACAATTCTGCGAATATATTTTAAAAACACTAAATTGTAGACTTTAAAGCTGCTTTAAAAAACTCTGTGGCCTACTTTTTCCAAATATTTGTCAAGATATGCAAGTTACAGCTTTCACGGCAATGTTCATTTCATATATTCTATAACTAGGTATGCTTGGATTCTTGATTAAGCCATTAAATGTCCCCTTTAATAGTGAGCCTGTGTTAGGTGGATAAATTGATACTCTTCATTTGAGAGGATTAGCTTTTGTATTTCCTATTTTCAATTTAAATTCACAAATTCAACATTCAATTAACTATGATCTCAGCCCTTAGAATCCCTAGTGTATGGAGGTTTCTAAGTGGCCTAAAATGCAATGTCTTAACTAAATCCAGATTCTAAGTCTCACTTTGTCATATCCTCGCTGCCCTAAAAGTACTTAAATTAGGACTTTTTTAGTCAAGGGAGGGTTTGGTCAGTCACAGGCCCAGGGCTTGGACTGTACCCCTCTGGAACTCCAGGCTCATCACACACATCAGAAGAAACTGTCAGACCTACCCTTTTCATTCATTCATTCAACAAATCTTG